GAAAGTAAAAGTGAAAACAGAAATTGCTCTGGAAAAATAAAAAAAATTAAATATTGAAGATTGAAGCTGGAGTAAACTGTTAAGTTCGAGGTTGAGAAACATCTATTTTCTAAAATATGAATAAGATGCATGCTACTGTTAGTTCATGTCTTTGTATACAAGGTTGACATTGGATCCCTAATTCCAGCCCTTGATTTCAATACTTGCATATGTTGCTTTTCTTTTTGCCATTGATATTGTCTTTCTTCAAACTTTTTTTTTTTTTTTTTTTTGGAAATTAGTTATGGATAGGGCTGAGTATGGGCTTTAATTTTGGCAAAATTTTGAAGGGGACCCGGGGATGGGGTCCAGGGTCTGATGAAATTCTAGTTATGGAATGTCTACTATGTTGTTGTCTTCCATGCAAGATATATTTTCCTTTTAATATTTGGGGTTTGATGAGACTAGTTAAGCATTTTTTCATGTTGCATAAAGCAATAGTGCATTGTAATATATACATGTGTTTGATGCAATTTGAGGAATAGCACAAAGAGAACAACACACGATAATTCAGTGTTTCATGTTTTTTCTACTGATTTGGTCGTCGAAGCCACAAATGCAAAAATGCATTGTTGATAACTATTGATTAAAATTTAAAAAATTAGTAATTTATATTTTTGATACAATACAAACACACAGGTAATAAATTATGATTTTGTTAAAACTTACTGTCTCACAGAATAGTTATCTCTACCATTTTTGACATACTTGTAGCAGGGACCTAATAGGAAAGATAAATACGGTTACATGCATTAAGTCGAATAATAACCGTAAACTTCACATTGAATTAAGATATTATTCACTCAATTATAACGAATCATTATATATATATCCAGAAGAAATATTCTGATAAGGAACAGGAATATTGGCATAAAATAGGTGGGTAAAATCAATTATAGGTGCTGTTCGAGCCTAGCGAACTGTAAATGATATATTGTATAATATGTGCTCAGAGATATCTTATAGTTAGGTTAGCCAATCTTTCAATCACTGCGCACAAATAATAGACGTGGGTGTGTGCACAGTGATGACAATAATAGTAAATAGGTTCAGAATGTGTACATGGGGGTCTTACGTCTTGTATTTATAAATGTTACCTCTTGGGCTGTGTAAATCTCTCAGTTGTAACGGGATTCGACTCCTTTTCTGTTGGGATAAAAATTTTATCCTTAGTAGCGTTACTATTTCATATTATTAAGATAATTGAGTAATTATCTTTTAAGAAATTCTTGAATAGATAATTAGGATATAAAATATATTCATAACAGGTGCCTTTCTCAATTTTGAAGGTGATGCTTTGCCTGTGAATTTGATGATCAACAACAGAAAATAAGGGTAGTGTCCAAGCAAGAAGACAGAACCTAGACATCATCAGAATGTCCTCGAACCTCGATACATGCAACAACATTATAACCAAAATATATACTTTTGTGGAAAGAAAAGGACTTGTGATAAGCCACTAAGAGTGGGAAGATCAGTTAAAAATTTAATATTGGTTCAAGAACATAAAAACATTTTTGAGAATATTTTTTTATTGTAATTTTTGAGAGAACTCAAAGATAGTAATTATTTCTCTTGATTTAAGATAAAATAAAGACATGCTAACAATACTTTTAACGGTTTAAATTTGAATTAAATTTTATATAAAAATTTCAAATTTAATCATGCAATCATGTTTTGAGCTGTGTGTTATGTTTTTAGTACAATATTGTAATATACTTGGACAATACATAATTTCTACTTTGCAGTAAAATTGCCAGTACTTCTTCACACATTCCAGGCGCATATATATCATGTAGAGTAGATATGAAAACCCATGCAAGAGAATATGAAACTTATTATCAATGTTGATATAGTTTAAACGTGAAAATGCGTTGAATGCAAGATTCAATTTCTGTCACAAAATTTAGGAACTTATTATAACAATAAAGAAATTTAAATGTGTGCTAAAAACTGTTCCGTAGTCAGTCATTAAGAACTAATTAATAAACATACACCTTTAATTTGAAAAATGGAGTGAGTAAAGTTAGCATTCAAGTTTGGTTTTAATGATTACAAAAGCAGATGTGGACTAAGAAACTTGGCCTAGTTCTTGCACACTGGAAATATGTATAGTGCTTGGAACCATGGTTTCAGGAAAGCTCTTTATGAACTAGAACACATTTATGCTAATAATTACTCGTTTAAATATGCTACTTTTATAGGTGAAGTTAGTTGAGGCTGAATAAGGTAATTAATTCCCTCCTTTTTTATTTTCATTTCTACAAAAGTGCTTCTTGGGAAAACAAAAGAAATTTACAGACAGTACATTAATAAACATACAAATTAACTGCATCCGATCCGGATTATTGGTTCGGTTGAGATATTGGGTAATTGATTCAATCAATGAGTCATTAGTTCAACTGCATAATTCGGTAAGTATATATAAATCTATAATTTATATTAAAAAAATTATAAATATATTCAATTACCTGTAAAAAAAAAATACCAATTCCAAATATTTTAATATGAAAAATAATAATTACATATAATTGTCTAACAAAAAATTAATCAAACATATGATTCTTGTGATATCGATGCTTCATGTTACGACATCTTTAACTATAAATCAAATTAAAATTCCATGTACATTGCATAATCAATATAATATTAGTGTTGTAGATACATAACCTATGTAAGTCAAGAAGCAGCATATCACTTAAATATTTCAAAAGAAAACAAACCATTTGTATGTGTCAGTGAAAAAAAGCACCAATTGATAAGAATAAACTTTATATATATATATATATAACTAAGTCAAGTCACTGGTTGAACTGATCGGGTCACCGATCTTTACAAAAATTGGTCGCGTCACACCAATCCATGACATGCCCGATCTAATATGAAAATCAAACCGATTATATGATCAATTTATCGATTTTTGAGTCGACCCGACTGAGTCGATCTGATTTTTATAGCATTGGTGTGATCTTATGTTTTTTTTTTTCCCCACTACGAAGATTGTGTGTGATCCTAACCTGAGTACTGTGTCACTAACTCATCCTAGTGTGTGAACCTAAGTACCCTGTCACTAGGTCATCCTCAGTAGACAAGGGTAGCCAGAGAAATTAGGGAAGAAAAAGACTTATCAAGCTATGTTAGGCCCGCAATGAAAAGCACCGAAGCTGTGTTTGCTTTGGCTATACCTGCTTACCCTTCTATGATTTCATTATCCTTCCCATCCCCTACAATTGAGTGTGGTCCTTCCTTCAAAATCTCCAAGAGTCCTTTTTTCTTTTGGATCTTCTCTTCTTTTTCCTCAATAACCGGTCCTTGTAGGTGGTATGGTAGTATGGTACATTTCATAGTTCAATGAACTAGCATGGTGAGCTGGTCTTAAAGCCTTTGTTACTGTGGATTATTTTGAGTATGGACATTTAATACTTTTGGTGATGCTATCAATACAAGTTACAAGTTGTGTACAATCTACAAAACAAAGATGGGAACAAAAGTTTAAGGGACATTACGTTTAATTTACACATGACTTAGGGGTCATGAGGATTTCTATTCACAAAATTGAACAAACATTCTTAGGTTCAAACACGGACAATTGGAGAAGACTTTCTGCGTAGCAAAAGCAAAACTATTGTAAGAAATTTACAAATTATAATCATAGATTTAAATCTCAATGCCGTCACTGTATAAAAAAAATGTACAGACTTTTAATTAGAAGGCAGTTAATGACATATTGTGCCAACTATAAGTTTTGTGGTAATGTACACGAAACCGATCTACATTAAAATAATTACTTTTTTAAATGGCCAGCATTGAATTCATAGAAAAAGTTTCTCCAAATTAAGATTGTTTTCAAGATGAGTAATTAAAATTGAATTACGATACATTTAAAATTAAATAACAGAGTAGATATATCCTTAATTACTTACTAACAAACTCATTTCAAATAAACTTTATCATGAATTTATATACTATTTCCATTTTTCCTGTTTTGTACTCATGTTAAATTCATTGAGTTTAATTTCATAGAATTCAAACATTCAGTGAGAATCATATTCTAATAAATTTTTAACAAATTATAAGTAGCTATGTACATAAATATGACAATGTGAATATTTTACATAATAAAATCATGTGAATAAAAATAAACACACTTAAATAATGCGTTTTTGGTTGTATATTTTATAAACGCACACCTGAATAATAAATACTCATATATATATTTTTTAGATAATCATACATGTGATGTGAAAGAAATTATTTCACTGGAAATATACTTTTTAGTAAAATAAGTTTACAAAATTTGTAAGTTCAATCCAAAAAACAAAGTAGGAAAATTTTACAGCCAGAAATAGACAATTGGAATTCATATAGTCGGCTACAAATTTTGAGGATAAAATAGACCCAACGTGTTTTTTTTTGGGTACAGGTTATGGTCCTGTTCTGGACCAAACTGTAATGTAGCAATGTGATTAACTGCACTCTTCAAAGCCACTGTCTGTGTTCTCTTGTCCTTTTTTTTTTTTTTTTTTTTTTTGCCCTTTAGTTTCAATAGTGCTGTTAATAACCCACGGGCAAAAACATGGGACAACAAGGTAATAACGGATATATACCTTGTTTTCTTGCATGCTTTTACATGCACCACTTCTTTTTGCATGGATAATGGTCCCCTACTATGTAAGTCTTTACCTCCTCCAAACACAAAAACCCTTTCAAGGCTTCAAGTAATCCTTCAACTTTTCACCCTTTATCTGCATCCATTATTTCCTTCAACTACCAATAAGCCTTTAAATAGCCTACTAAAGTTGTCACTAACAAAACTGGTACATAATTTCCACAATACTCATTTAATAATAATCAACAAGAGGAATCACAAAGGGTTTTGCAAATTGTATAGAGAGCTGAATAAAAAGGAAAGCCTATTTTTTAGCTTTCATGTTATAGGCCTCTCAGTTAATTACTACAGCAGCTCTGATCATATTAAAGCCATTGTTATTATGACTTTGAGCTTCGAGAACTGTGCTAGGATATTGTGTTCTTTCTTATATATACTTCCTTAGTTTTTCCATAAACACAAAGGAAGAAAAGAGGTCAGGTTTCTTGCTCAGCTTTTGTGTTTCCTCCATTCATCTTTTCCCATTCAGTTTGAGCATAAATTCAGGATCTTGTTCTTTCTTGATACTACAATCTGTGTTCTTCCAAAATACCACTAGTTTTCTTTAAGGGATACCCACTAGTGTTCTTCCAAAGCCACCTGTTTCTGCCTGTCCCTTTTGTTATAATTTAGTTGAAGATTGTCTTTTTCTCTTAAAAGAGAAATGCTCATGTAAGACATCATCCATATGATGCACTTGAATTCAAGCCAAGCACCTCCTGCTTGTGGTTGTTTTTGTCAATGTTGCTTCATCCATCTTGAATTTCTCTTGTGCCTGATAATCTTGTTTTGATTCAATAACATCATGAAGAGCATCGAGGCTATTAGTCATGCCCTTTTTGTTATGTTCATCCTCTCTCTGAGTACAAGGTGCTGTGGACAAGTAGACCTTGATGTAGCTCCAATGGAGAAAACAGAACAGGAAGCTCTATACTCCACGATTCAAGGCTTTGTTGGCAATTCGTGGAATGGTTCGGATCTCTATCCAGATCCTTGTGGTTGGACTCCTATTCAGGTATCTTTTACTAGATATCTAGCTGTACCATCATACTATACTACCTTTATACTTTGCTAGTAATTAGGCTTGGACAGTTCAAATTTGTTTCTGGTTGATTTTTTATAAGAACATTGTTTCTTGATGAGTTTCAGAAGATATAGTTTAGTTAATGACTTGCGGGGGCTTTTTTTCATAATTTACAGTGAAGCTTTGAATAACAAACTCCCTTACTCTTTTATACTTAAAGATTTTGGCTAACTGCTATTAGGTCCATAAATAAGGCTTTGGACTTAATTTTAGAAATGGAATTGTGAGGTAAAAATAAAATACCTTGGCTTAGTTCTACAGTTACCCTTACCATTAAAGGGTATAACCTGAACTAATTGAAAATCAAAAATGAAAAATCATAAATTTTCAAGAACATGGTGATCAATTATTTGTTTAACTGTGATCTCTCTCTTGTTTTCTACTGCAGGGGGTTTCTTGTGATCTGTTTGATGAATTTTGGTACGTTACTGCCTTGAACATTGGACCCATCCAAGACAATTCACTAAGTTGTGCTCAAAATTTGGAATTTAGACCACAGTTATTTGAGCTCAAGCACCTGAAAATTCTATCCTTCTTCAATTGTTTTCAATCACAAAACAGGATTCCAGTTACCATCCCCACTAGAAACTGGGAGAAATTGGCTGGCAGCTTAGAATCACTGGAGTTTAGATCAAACCCGGGTCTCATTGGACACATTCCTTCAAGTTTTGGTGTCCTGAAGAACCTCCAATCACTAGTAGTACTACAAAATGGTGTAACAGGTGAAATACCACCAGAAATTGGCAATCTTATCAAGTTGAAGAGGCTTGTTCTTGCTGGAAACAATTTTACTGGGAGGATTCCAGATGTTTTTGGTGGATTAATTGATTTATTGATATTTGATTTAAGTAGAAATTCATTATCTGGAACTTTACCTTTGACACTTGGAAGCTTAACTTCAGCATTGAAGCTTGATCTAAGCCACAACCGTTTGGAAGGGAATCTGCTCAATGAATTTGCTAATCTTAAGAACCTGACCCTTATGGACCTTAGGAATAACAGATTCTCTGGTGGGTTGACCTTGTCTTTTCAAGAAATGTATTCCCTAGAAGAAATGGTTTTGTCTAACAATCCATTAGGTGGAGACATGAGGACCCTAAAGTGGGAAAACCTTCAGAACTTGGTCATTTTGGAACTATCTAACATGGGGTTGTCTGGGGAAATCCCTGAGTCTATATCAGAATTAAAGCGATTGAGATTTTTGGGACTTAGTGACAACAACCTCACAGGCAACCTGCCACCAAAGCTAGAAACACTTCCTTGTCTCAATGCACTCTACCTAAGTGGAAACAATCTAGCAGGAGAGCTTAAATTTTCTAGTGAGTTTTTTGGAAAAATGGGAAGACGTTTTGGGGCATGGAACAACCCCAACCTTTGTTACCTAGTTGGAGTAATGTCAAAAAACCAAGTTCCATATGGGGTAAAACCATGCCAGCAAGAGGTCAATTTGCTAGAATCTAATACAAAAACTGAGCTGCTCAATGGGGATATGAACGAGACTTCCCATTTCATACCCGCTATGGCAATTTCTAGTTGTGCTACTAATGGCTTCTGGTGGACTATTCTGGAACAAATATTGATGATGGGTCTATTCCTAAATTCTTATATGGCTCTTTAATCAAGATTAGTCCAACTTGGGCTTTAACCTTTTAGGTGTTGCAGCAACTTGTCTTTTATATTTTATTCTAATCTTCCAACATGTTATCTTTTTATTGTTTTCATTTTTGCTTTTGCTTCTTTTTTCTTTTTCTTTTTCTGATAGTGTGTTGTCTTGTTACAAGTTCTTCAATATTGTAACATGCATATACTGATGGAAGTAAACCACACTATGTAGCTTTAAGGGAACAGGGTACTTTTTGTTTAAATGTAACATACTTCATCTTTAAGGAATAATGCTTGGAGATGATTTAGATATAAACACTTTAAATTCACTGTGGAGAGAACTACTTTTCAGTTTTAGACTCTGTTTGATTTGATATAGTATTTTTTTTTTTCCCGCTAATGTTTTCCCTGGCACAAATATGTCCTATCTTTGTAGAACATAATTCTTAAGAAAAAGACAAATGAAGTATTTCTTTGCAATTTGCAGTGTGTTAAGCATCTGATCCTTATTTGTCCTCAATGTATTCTTTGAGAGAGAATTTTTGGTGGGAGGGGACTACAGTGGTCCCTCTCAAAATAGAAAAAAAAAGTAGAGATTCAGAAAGAAAAATCAAAAAGAGAGAAATAAAAATAGAAGAAAAATTTTTATTTATAAAAAAGGATCACTGAATAAATGGTGGGATAGGAGCATAATAAATTTTTCCATTTTTTGAATACAATGAACAACTGACTGTGGTTTATAAAATGAGTAAGTATGCATGTATTTATCTTTAATTTAATCTAAAATGTATAATAATTTTAACTTATTAAATAATTTAATAATAATTTATTTTTCTTATTTATTATTTTATATGAGCATTTTCCCAATTGTTCCTTATGTTGTTCTTTCTCTAACTTGTGAGCTTGAAGTAATCAAATTAAGGCGTGACAAGCTGGGATGAGAAGGCCTAAATGCTTTTAGTTAGCAATTTCCCTTCTTTTTTCTTTTTTTCTTTTTTACAATTTTTTTAGGATAAAAAAGGTTTACGGCTCTACTGTGACATGAGGGTTTTTCAATTTTCTACAAAGAGAAGAAATGGTGATTTTTAAAGATAAAAAAATTAATTGAAAGATTATTAATAGAAGAAAACACTTCTCGGACAGCAGAAGAAGTGTTTTTCCCTTTATAATACTGTGACGAGGAAGGATAAGTAGATCCAAATGCTCGTGGGTCTTTGTTTCGTAATTCAATATTATTCTTTAATTTGTGAAACATATCAGCGTTCATGGCCATAAATGTTTTTGAGAGTAAAGCCCGATAGGTTTTAGGTGTTTGAATCTAGGTCCTATAGGAAACCTAGTTTAACTTTGGTCAATGGTCAAGGGTCGTGGACTGCAATAGTGGGCAAGGTCCAAGCCCAATCCTTCGATAAACTTTATATGTTGACCATAAAAAAAAAAACAAAAATTCATGCAAGGACAATATTGTTGAAATTTTCTTTGTGCAAATTTTGTAAATAAAAAACGGAAATGAATCCTCTCATATGTAATTTGACATGATCATGTCATATGGAATGATCTTAACCATTAATAATTAAATCAATGGTGATGATTGTGTAACTTCCTATCTTTATATTTTTTATCTCTCCTCCCTTATCACCATTAACTCACCCATGTATGGTTAGGATTTCCCCACATGACATGGTCATGTTAATTAGCACATGAGATGATCCACTCCTATAAAAATACTTTTCACTTGAAATGACAATAACAATAATTAGTTTAGTTTTGTACTAAAAATCAATTCGGTTTGGTTTTTCAAAAAATCCGGTTCAGTTCGACCCATGCACATCCCTAAGTATATGCTCTAAATAGTTTACATAGGCTTAGGCTATCAAAAACAAAGTATGGCCTAACTTAGCCCATTTATAGCTCTAGCTGTGACCTGTGAAGAACATCAACGTAAAAGAACTAAAATCTTCACAATTAAAAAGAAACATGAAACAATCAGCGACAAATGTCTAAAATAATTTAAGTGACATTGGATCCACATAAATCATTTAATCAATGTTTAGATATTTTAAATTTTTGAAAAATACAATTAAAAAAAGAAGAAGTTGTTAATAAATATTTATATCTTCATTGATTTTTCTCTTTAACAGTTTTAACTGATTGATCGCTAAAATTCTTATTCCTGTTGTGAAATCAAATACAAATAACACCAAGAAACAATTCAATTCCATTACCAATAGCAACGGTAGCTTAACATTAAAATAATTTTTTTTTAAAAAAAAAGGTAAAGATAAAACACATTCCATTTTTCAAAAGAAATAAAATCAATAAATACAACACATTAAAAAATATGTAAATAAAAAAAGGGGCAAGAATTTCACTAATGTTAGAAACACCCAATAAACAATTATGGTCAGCAAAGACAAAGAATTTCTCTTTTACAAGGTTCAAAAATGTAAATCAATTTTTCCTTCAGCTGACAATATAATTAACAATGCATATTCCAAGAATATGTATCCATAAAATCTTTAGAAAGGAACAAAATATCGTACCTTGTCACAAAATGGCTGAGTTTCGGGTGGTGAGTGTGAATAAGAAAAAAAAGGTTAGAAGAAAACCATAATTGAAAAAAAGATGAAAGAAGAAGAAGAAGAAATTAAGAAGAAAGCAATATGTTATTTAGTCATATACGCAAAGTAGCTCCAAATCTTCCTTTGTTGTAACTGTTACAATTTTTTTTTTGTAATACCACTGTTACAATTTTAACTATGGCCAACTTATAATTTTAACTAGGGTCCAATTATAATTATTTATATAATTATATATAATAAATAAAATTTGTTAAAATGTAGCTGGAACCCGACCTGGTATAACGTGGATATGCCATTAGTCTTTGAGATTTCATGAGTTCCTAGTGTGAAGGCACTACGCATTTTCTCTGTTGGACTTAAACTTGTCAATTTGTTAATTGGCCAACAAGTTAGTTATCTTAACATGAACAATGCAACTTATTTAATTCGTTGCTTTAATGGGTTTTACTTTTATCCTTTAACATAACACAACAAACTTTTCTACTCTCACAACATTTTGTGGGGCCCACACTTTTTAAAACAAAAAAATAAATAAAAAATTAAGGCACGCAAAACGAATCTCTATAACATTACACAATTATTTTTCCTACAACATAACTCTTATAAAACCCTGCTTTAATATATGTATAATGTTTTTTCCTTTTGTTTGTCCTTGCAGCAGGACGGGCAAAAGGTTTTTATATTTGAGGTTACATAATTTTTCATTCTTATATTTTCACAAGCAAATAAAGACTTTGCCATGTTCAACAAGAAACTACGAGGGTCCCTCTACAACTTAAGCAGTCATGATTTTGTACATATGTACATGTGAAAAATCATGTACACAGTTGGGACCTATGAAATATTGACATTTCAAAAATCTTGACGTGTCGTGTCTAACACTTCTCGACACTTTCAGACACCCCGACACTCTAACACGTGTTATAGAAATTCAAAAAAAGGTTCAAATGTTAAGTTGCGTTGAGTTTTTAGTTCCAATTATTAGATTCGTTGAATTACGATTACCATTTTATTGAGTTTAATATAAATATTTGGGATATCTTATATTTCTTTGCAAAATTCATGAATATTATAAGTTTAGATACATTTTTTTGTTAAATTATTGAATATTAAATATAATATATACTACATAAATTAAAAATATTATTTAATATCAAAACGTGTCCTAACGTGTCGAAATCTAATATTTTTTAGAATTAACGTGTCGGAGTATCGTGTCATATCGTGTCACGTGTCAGTATCGGTACTACATAAATTGTAACTGTAAGCTATGTAAGTACTACTGCACAATATGAAACCACTTGGACTGGAATGTTTTGTTGCCTATGCTTAGTCCTTGATATTATTCCTTATTTGAATTAATTGGTGCATTGTACACAAATTAGCTGCATAATAAATTAATAATAAAAGTAATATCATCTTCTGTTTCCATATGAGGGCTTGTTGAGCCTTCAACTACACGAAGACAAGAAGAATCATCTGCAATGTTATCAAAAAAATTTTAACCCTAAGTGGGTTTTAAGGCCTATTAAGTTTTATAGTAGTTAAATTTTACACTTAAAATTTCTGTGAATATTTGTATTTTGCAATGAAAAGAAGGATGAGGAAACAGAGAATTTGGAATGAGGCTGACATTTCTACTTTTTTATTAGGGAAAAAGATATGTCATTCTAAACAATATATCTTATATTCTTTTACTTTCACAAAGAGGTGAAATTCATACTTTTAAAATTTTTTCTACCAATTCTTTCTTTCCTATGATTTATCTCTTTTTCTCACTTAAAATGATATAATTTTATGTCCTTTAAAATAATACACATTTTTTCACTTTTGACTATCAATGCATGGCAGTTATTATTAGGGGTGTTCGCGGTCTGGATTGGATCGGTTTTGGAATCAAAACTCATCCGATCCAATCTCTTCATTTTTATAATGTAATCATCCATTCGGTTTAGATTTTTTTTCAAATCTGATCTGATCCAATCCAATTATTTTCGGTTTGGATTGGATCGGTTTTCGGTTTTTTGAATATCCTAAAATTAGTTTCATGATTATTGTGCAAATAACATTTTTTGTATATATTGGCTTTGTAAAAAAAAATTAAAATACAAAAATATCAGTAAACAAGACTATAGTTGATGAGACGTGACTAAGTTTTTTCTTGGATTTAGTTGATGAGTTAATGGGTCTTGAGTTTAGAAATTTTTGGACTATGATTGGAGAAAGGACAAGTAGGTATAGGATAATTAATATATTGGATCGGTTTTCATCAACCCATCCGAAAACCGATCCAATCCAATTAAAATTTGCGGTTTTTTTTCGGTTTTCGATTTTTCGATTTTCGGTTTATTCGGTTATCGGTTTTTCAGTTCGATTTTCGCGGTTTGAATCGGTTTGGATCGGTTGATGAACACCCCTAGTTATTACGACTTTAATACTTTGAAATGAAATGTGGAGGATTGCATAAGGGTAGCCTTATAGGCTTGTAGCTATAGGGATATGCATGTCTACTTAATTGATAAGAGGGTAGGGTTGGCTTAAATGGACGTACACTGCTTTTAATGGACCTTGTGTTTAAAGAGAGCTATTACGGGTTTGTGTCCATTTAGAATGTGTGGCAGATGTGGGCTGTCTTTGTAAAATGTTGGTTTTCTAAATTGTTCTCTGGGCATTAAACAATG